AAGAAAAAAAAAAAAAAAAAAAAAAAAAAAGATGAAGAATTTTCAGATTTGTAGTTCGAATCCGCCATTAATGGCAGCAGATCGGGCACCTGACAAGCCCATTTTCATTGCAATCGAGACATCTCTGGAACCCATATCCTTCTTCTTCGTCTTCTTCCTCGTCTTCTTCATAGAACACTTTACAGCTTCCACAGCAGGTCTCACATGGCACAAATCTGATATCCCCACACGCCTCACACCCACCCCCTTCGCCATTTTCAAGCTTCTCGCAACATTCAAGCAATTTCTCAAGCTGCCCATCTTCATGGAATCTCCGGATTTCTTCTGCCCCACCGATTTGTTTCCTCCCAATGAACACTCTGGGTAAGCTCCTTCCGCCATTTTTGTTCTGTTCTTCCATTAAAAGCTCCTTTAGCTCCTCTTTAAACCCAGAATGCATTGACACGTCTCTTTCATCTACATGAACTCCAATGGCTCTCAGAATCGCTCTCACATGGCAGCAATCTTCGTATGTCTTACGAATCCCTCTCAAACTCGTGAAGTATAGAATCACCTTCTCCCTTTTGAATTTCTTTGAATCCACGGCCGCCAACGGCAATTGTCGGAGGTGAAATGGGTGATCCGGCGAGAGCTTTTGTAGGGATTTTTGAAACAATGAAATCACTTCTGGATCGAAATCGGAAACCACCGATTCGAAATTCAGATTCATATCGTCTTCTTCTTCTTCTAATTGAAGCCAGAGGGGTTTCGGAGATGAATCGGTAACGGTTTCTTTCGGAATCGTCTCTGGCCGATTGAATGACGGATCGATAACCGTCCGGCTACCGAAATCGAACGAGAGGCTCCGAAATTGGGTCGGAGATGGGACAGGGCTAACATCTTCAAGCCCTTCCATCAGCTCCCATGTATTGATCATCTCCGGCTCCCCCGGCGGCGTTCTAACCGGAGTTTTCGCGGCGGGTTTAGTCATTTTCTCTGTGATTATACTCGACCATGTCTTCGCTTCCGCCAATCCTTCCCGGAAATCCCCAATCGTTTTGTAATCCTCGTTTCTCCTTGATTGACGTTGATGATAACCACCACCATCGCCATCGCCATCGCCGCCGCCGCCGCCGTCCCTATTGATTCCGAGCTCCAACGAGCCTAACGTGGAGGAGGTTAGGGCTACGACGTGGTAACTATCGCCATTAGTTTGCGGTGGATGATGAACTTGCATCGAGTAGCTTCGAGAAATCGGCGAATACGGCCGCCGGCAATGGCGGCATCGATTTGGTTTCGAGCTTACACATCCCATTGACGGATTCAACAAAAAGGGAAGAGAGAAGATTGCATAAATTTAATAATTACAATTGTGTAAGAACAAATTATGATATGAATCAGATCGAAATGGAAGATCCGGAAGCGAAAATTTGGAGGATCGAAAACGAAAATAATACAAAACATTCAGGAACAGGGTTCGGAATGAAAAGAATCAATAAATTGAGATTGGAAGAATCGCGAGAACCCTTGTTCCCCCTTTTTCTTCTTCATCTGATGGCCAAATTGCAGAAATCAAAGGATCATAGGAAGGTGCATAAGAAACAACATGAACAAGAAGAAGAAGAAGAACAGGGGAAAAACAGAGAGGGTGGAGAAGAGGAACAGAGAGCATCAATGGCGGACGGAGGAAGAAGAGAAATGGGGGATTTGGGGGAAATGGTGTTTTGGGGGAGAGAAACGGGGAGTTGGGTAATTGGATTTGGATTGCAGAGATGAATGGAATGGAAATGGAAGAAGTTTCTCTCTCTAGATTTGAGGAGAGAGAAAGGGAAGGAAGGAGGAGGAAGAAGAAGAAGAAGAAGAAGGGGAGAGAATGATGAATGGCATTAAAAGAGGTAAATTCAGAACCGAAATTCAAGTTGGCGTTCTTCTTATATACACTTGTAAGCTTTCCACAACAAAATCGAAACTGATTTTTAAATCCAACTTTCTTTCTTTTTTAACTTCACGAAGAAATGGTCACCGTTTACACGGGTTGAGTTGAGTTGGGTTGAGTTTGAGAAATTTTTTAGCTAAAATTTTAGATTAAGAGTAAGTTTGAATAGAATTCAAAACTCAGCTCAACCCTCTATTTTCGGGTTAGGTTGTCTGGTTGTTTTTTTTTTTTTAATTATTTAAAAAAAAACCGTTAATCACTAAAATCTCATCCGACTCAAAACATCATAGGTTACAACTCATTACTAGTATTGGTTACAAATGTTAAATATTTTTAATTTTAACAATAATTGTACGAGTACACGGTTGGGTTGGATTTTAACCCTATTTTCGAGTTAGTTGGGTCAAAATTTAACCAAACTCAAACCCAAATAAAAATGTAACCCAACTCAACCTTTATAATTTGGGTAGGGTAATTCGAATTAGTTGGATGGACAGGTCATTTGATTAGGTTATCGTTTTCTAATATTGTTTTCTATTATCTCAACATTGTCATCAACCACCATGGATCTATCCTTAAAGAGGTAGTCGTCGTAGCGGCCAAGGAAAGGATTGCATGAAACCGGCTAAAGCTCGTCATAGGATCTTATGCACGAGGATTGTAATGAAGCTACTTGTCTCGGTTGGATCGATTGAACCAATTAGTGATTTGGTTTAGTTAAACCATTTGGTCCAGTTCAATTAGATTGGTTTGATTCAGCTTAAGGTGAGTATGATTTAACTTCCTCTCGTTTTAAGCTAGTATTATGTTGGATAAGATTGACTTAGGTTGTTTTTCAAAATTGACCAAGTGCTCGCTAACAAAAAGGAGTTTTGAAACGAAGTGAGTGGTGTATCGCTATTTAGATTCAGGTAAGTTGTTCATCCAAGTTATTTGCCCCGTGATAGTTTTGTATGCATAAAAAATTTATTTTGAAATGTTTTGGGACCACTTGAGAAATAAAACTATGGCAATTGCTCGTCACTAAATGAGTTAATTTTACCATCATGGTCACGTGCTAGATAACCTACGATTCGGTTCATGATCCTAGGTAGAGAATTAGGATTTTGATTTTGACCCACAAGCTAGATGATTAGTATCTCTAGGCTTCGAGGTTACAGGCAAGATGATCTTCTTATCAGGGTAGGTCACAGGCTAAATGACTTTAGGTTTTTCGGTTCATGTTTCACTTTTATTGTGTGTGTTAACAAATCTAACCCTAACAGATGGTTACACAGGCAATATTTTTAATACCCAACCTTTCAAAACTTTCAACGTATTTTTAAATGTTATAAAAGGGACTCGAAACAAATTTATTTTATTTTATTGAAATAATTGCGTTTATCGATTTTATATACTTTTTTTCCTCTAATTTTAAAATGATGATTACGTGCATTTAATGAAGAATTTAGTCGATCTAGGTATAGAAAAGTCGGGTTTTCTAAAAGTGCAAGAAGAAATAATAGGCATTTGGTCAAGGCTTAGGTATATAAAACTAGTTTGAAAATCTTAACTCAATTATTTTGTTCTTTAAGACTTTTAATTCAAAAACGTCTCATTCGGAAATAAAAAGGATGTATATATATTTTATTTATTGGCACGGCTAAGTTTAGGGCCTCTCCACGATGGTATGATATTGTCCACTTTGAGCATAAGCTCTCATGGCTTTGCTTTGGGCTTCTCAAAAGCCCTCATACCAATGGAGAGTGTATTCTTAGACTATAAACCCATGACCATTCCCTAAATTAATCAATGTGGGACATTTTCATCCAACAGAAGTCACGAGATGAAATTAGGAATTCTGGTAAGCAAAAGTTCTCATGGTTTTTCTTTTGACTTTCCTAAAAGACTTTTAAGTTGGACCAATCTCAGCTACATGAACTAAATCAAATCGAGCTGGATCACTTCTTCAATCTCGCATGGATCAACGACAACTTGAGAGTTCGACAAAGAATCTCAATGACTCCCTACAATGTTCCATGGAGTTTCATGGCAATTGGGATCCGTGACAATGACCCCTACACAATGAGATGGTCACATTATAAGCTTATTTGAATTGGAACAAGTTTGAATGGTAACATTATAATCCAAAGTTCCGTGGATTAGTTACAAATTGTATAAGCTCATTAGAATATCATTTTTAATACAATAAATACTTAACTATACTTGTCTGAAACAATAAAAAATCATTTAATAATACAATCAACAACGAGACCGATGATCACAATTCTTCCAGCAATCGAACATAGCTAAACAAGGGCCTAACCGAATCGGCACGCGAGTGAATGGAGATGATAACGAGGCGACGTGTGGAGAGAAAAGAAAAGTTAGATTAATAATCATAGAGACATGTGGGCATGAAATGCACGTGCAGCACGTGCAATTGTGTGAGATAATTGATACAAAGTTTTAAAGGCAAAAAGAAAAGAGCTTTGGATCTCACAGCCACACGCCCCTATTTCCATTTCCCATCATGACTGCAGCTTGTGAAGGAGGCATATCATTTCATATGCTCTTCAACTTCTTCATTTTAATACCAATTTAGCCCTTATCGTTAAAAATATTGTTCGGCAATCGATTATGGGACTTTAAATATGAGTATGAACGTGGCAGTGTGCATAGTCCCGTGCTAATTGACATGGGTGTTTAGAAAATTCAATGACCGAGACATTCTCTTGCAACATAGTCACGTTATTTGCTCCTCGCTTCTAAAAGTAAAAACTATCCCCAGAGATGAACACTCAACCTGTTTTGTCCTCACTCACATGCTTAACGTCACCAAGCATAGAATTGCTTCTAATTTTGAAATTCCTAGGATTGAGCCATCGAAAAAGGAAGGTGCACCATATTAGTAGAGGTAACAACGGCGGTTTTGATGGGAGTCTTTTCGTATGGTCTCCCATCGCCGTTAATGGGTGGCTTTTTCCCGTCTTTCTTGGCCCTCCCTCTTTGTTTCTTTGTTTTTGAGTGATGAACAACTCCTTTCCCTCCCTATCATACTCCTCTCCATCTCTCTTTTTGCTTTTTTCTTTTCCCTTTTCCCTTTTCGGTTTGGGTTAAGTGTTTCTTTCTATACACGTGAATTTCTAAGACACGGGAGGATGCAATCATTCTTCCCTTTTTTTTTTTATCTTTCTTCAGTATAAAATCAATATATGTTATCATATCAATATAAATAGCGAATCGATAGAAATTTAGAAGAACAATTCTTACCAACTTTTCAGCAACATAACTTCTATCCATTCAGTAATTAATCTCACGTCAGGTAAATTTATAATCAATCAATCAATCAATTTAGACAACACGGACGAGAAATTGCTTTTGAGATAAAAGTATTAGACGGATATTAGTGAAGTGTGTTCATAAAACATCCACCATTAATATTCAAATATCAAATCAATGTCTATGGATGAGATAAGTATTATGAAAATGATTTGACAAATGTTGGATGTATCTTCATAAGGTGTTGTGTGCTCTTGATTTGAGACACTTTTAGGTATTATGTCACACTCAAATAAAATAAAAACTTTGAGCTCTAAAATCGACCGTCCTATTTTTACCATACATGATTTAAATAACTGATGTTAATAATTTATACTATTTGAGTTTTACGAGATTTTAGTTATTAATGTATAATTTTTTAAAATAAATAAAAAAAATACAACTCTAAACTCAATCTAATCCAACCCGAAAATAGAGAGTTGGGTTATGAACTCCATTCAGACTGCTCGGGTAATCGGCTCGGTCCGTCCAAAATTTTAAATTGATCCAAAGGATTTTTTCAACGTACATCCTAATCTTTTGTTATTATTATATTCTTTTTTGAGCGTACAAACTTGTAATATAAATAAAAGGAGTGATTATGAATTAATTAAGATTGGTTTCTTGGTAGAATGTTTGTCGCCTAAATATCTTCTCCATCACTTCATTGCCTTCCACTACATGCTTGTTTCTTATGCATACATGTTTTTTAATATTATTTTAATTATAACGTACTAATTACTATAAATTTAGTTTAAATATTTAAAGGGTCGTGTAAGACTTGATTAAATAAGGGATACATGAATGAATCGAGACTAATAGAGTGCACCTTTTTTGTTTTGAGTAATTTTATGTTGGTTGGCCTCTTGGGACACTGAAAACGAGGAGTAATATAACCATGTCGTCGAGAAAGTGCCGAAGCCATCAGGTGCTGAATTCAAATTTCGAATCCTAGGTATGAGTCGTTAGAGGTCGTATTAATTTTGTGCATAGATTTAAAAACTTCCAAATAAATTTTTTTTTCCTTCTATTTTTTTATCTTGAAATATGGAAAATAGGAACTGGCCTCCAGTAATTAAAGTATAATAGTAAATGATTATTATTTGTATGATTGGTGTTTATATAAAACTTAACGTGTAGAGGAGAGAGATATGAGCGGATATCGTCCTTTTGTAGTTTTTCCTTTCAGACTTTCCTTCAAGATTTTTAAAACGTGTTCGTTAGAGAGAGGTTTTACACACCCTTATGTTTTGTTATCTTCTCCAGCCGATGTAGGATCTCACAATCCACCTCCCTTCCAAGCCCAGCGTTCTCACTTACACTTGCTCCTCTCTCCATTCGTTGTAGAATCTCACAGTTTGTTTGTACTTAAATAAATGGTAATAATAATAAATCTTTGTTTCGTTCTCTTCTCCAACCGATGTAGAATCTCACAATCCACCTCTGTTCGAGGCCCAATGTCCTCACTGACACTCGTTCCTCTCTCCGATCAATGTGGAATCTCACCATTTATTTATATAATAACAAGTCTTAGGGTACATGGAGTTGCTTAGTGAGGAGTGTTTTTGGGCTTTATAGCCCTTGCCAATAGTAATTTTTAAGTTCAAAATGAAAAAATTAAG